GTGGTTGTCGGAGTGGGTGGGGGGGGGGGGGGGGGGGGGCGTGCGCGTGTGTGTGTAGGGATGGACGCCGCACACAGCGCTCCTTGAGAACTTCTCTGAATTTTCTGTTTCATGGAACTAAAAAAAAAAGATAAATCATCAGCTACAGATGAGGACAAGATAAGGATATCAATTTATTTTTTTCTGGGAAAATTGTTTAATATGAGGGGGAAAAAACATGACTCGTGTGAGCTAGTAGCTAATTTGAATGCTAAAGTAGATCAATTATAAGTGTGTGCCAATTTTCATTTAAAAATCCTTTATAAATGTAAGAGTGGCATGTAAAGAAAAAAAAGAGATTCTCAAAAAAACAAAAAACAAATTGTTGACTCATATACTCCACAGTCAGACAAACAATAAGCTCGCAGCATGATACAAAAGGTGCACTTACAGAGCCTGACCTGCAACATGTTAGTAAAATGTCACACAAGGCTTCCCAGGTGATTTTGTGTCAATATCGCAAATACGTTGCGAAGGAAAGGGCTCTTCAGAAGAGAATATGAAGCTGCTCTTACATTCATGAATGTTTCGTTTTGAAGGACTTGCTGCAACATTCGCATGTGAGTGCACATGCTGAGCAAGCAGACGTTAATGCTTTCTGTATTGGTTTTGTATGCAGATTCTCTGAAACATGTTGGAAAAATTTCAAAGTGGCCTAAAAGAAAAAAAGTCCACCAACACTAAAGATCGACAGCTGAAGTGCATAGAAATGAAGAAACGCACAGCAGAAACTGTTAAAAAGTTAATATTTGACTTCAAAAGACAGCTACAGCCAACAAAATAAACTATTATAGGAAATATATCTGTCAAGATTAGTGGGAATTTAGTTTTATTTTGTTTGTTTGTTTTCACTTCATTTTGGCTTTTACATCCTGCTTCCTTGTTCTCTGAGGATTCTATCACTGATTTCTCACATTTCCTCAGTTCAACTTCTGCTACTTGAATTCCTTCACAGTTAGACCCAGTTTTCAATCAACCACCTGCTCCTAGTTCAGTAATCAACTCTCCAGCTTAAATAACTTTCAGTCTGTCAGGTCCTACTGCTACTGCCACCATTGGAAAAACAGCTGTCCAACACAACCTGGTCCAATACAAAAAGAAGAAGAAGGAGGAGGAGGAGGAGGAGGAAAAAGGACTCAGGACTCAACGCTCCTTATAAACACAAACTGATTTAAACTGTAGTAGTTACACCCAGGCTTGATGCCATCCATCCATCATCTACTCCTGCTTCAAGAAGAATAAAGAAACAAAACCATCGACATAAATAAATCTGAAAGAATCACAAAACCATTTCTAAGTTGTTGGAACTCCAGAAAACCATGAGAGCAAACATCAACTATCTTACAGCTGTATAACGATGTTTTCATTATTATGAACGCATCTAAGCACGAGGTGATATAATTTTAGATTTTGCTGGTTGCAATGGTACTTACCTGTTAGGAAAAAAATATGCATTTCTCTGCATAAGGCACATGTTATGTCAGAACATCCTCCAGTGAAATAATATTCTTAGAGAACATCAGAGTTTGTCCAGTAGTGTTTCCATTACAGGAAGAGATAACACAATGTCAGAAACTGACTTAAATATCACAAAAGCCCTTAATCACATTTTATTAGAGTTTGTCCTCGTCAGAACTGTACAAAATAACGTGCCTCGTTTTAGTCATATTGTATTATGATCCATCTAGATTGGGTTTTTACCCTTGTCTCTGTGTATTCACGTAAATTTCCCTGATAGGCCACCGTATCGCAGAACCTCACGCATGACCAGCCAAGCTCATGGAGTGACAAGGTCACATGGGGAATCTGACCGTGCTCGCACTAAGGTGCAGTTTTCTCCCTAAAGTGGACATTTATGCTTGATCAGCCAAATCTGCATGAAGTAAAGACACAGCTTGCCTTTTAATGTCAGCTACGGTATGACTCTCCTGGCCCGAATACACAAGCACATGTCGTCTAACGTGGGCGGCTTTATTCTCTCCATGACTAAAACGTGACCCGTTTTATTTATGGAGTATCCCTAATTACATCAGCACCTCTTCTCCCAAACTTTCTACAGCATCCCTGATGGACAATGCCTCCCCTCAACATGCTTGAAGCTGCTACTGAACTGGAGAGCTCCTTCAGTGGCAGACTGCTACATCCTGGGTGCACAAAGCAGTAGTATTCACAGATCCTTCCTCTCGAAAGCTGTCATGACTGTATATCCCTCACCACTCCGAACAAACTCTAAGTGTTTAAATCACTGCTGATGTTTCCAGTTTTTCACGTTTCAAGTAACATTCCTGCTGCCCATCTCTGTTTAGCGCATCCCTGTTTGCACAGTTTTTATTTTCCCCTTTTGTAAATAATCTGTTGGTGTTTTTAATGCAGAAACACACAATAACTTTAATGAAATGAGTTACAACAACATTTGAAAAGTGTTTTTGAATCTTAATGCACATTTCTTTGGATCAAAGTAGGTATTTTTAATAAGTGCTTTGTTAATATGTGTTGTACTGTATGTTATACTTCTGTTTTTATTTATATCTATATATATTTAAATATATATATATATTTTTTGTGTGTGTGTTTCTATTTTAGCTGTATATGCTCTGATTGTCACTTTGCTTGTGTTCAACCTTAATTCCCCCACTAAAGGACGTTAAGGGCTATTTCTGTTCTATTGTACTGCAACTCTCAGATTAGACCATCTTTCATCATAAATATGATCCCCAGAGAAAAGCAGATGAATGGTGGTACCTCGGTGAAACAACCCACCTTACGGCTCGTATGAGCGTCTTCACAGCTGGAATCACCTCCTCCATGGCCACATCGCAATACGACTTGTCTTCCACGCTTTCCTCTCCAACACCCTCCACTGAGGTCCAAGAAGTAAAGAAGACGATTAGCAACATTCTCGCGAGCTCTGACGAAACGTGTAATTTCTGCTCACCATCGACGGGTGGGCGCGGCTTGAGGCGAAGGGAGGTGCGGAAGCGCGTGCGGTCGTTGAAGCTCCAGCTCTTTTGGACCTTTCCGGGGCTGGTGGCTTCGGGGACGTTCTCCTGGCTCGGGGAGCGCCGGACGCCGGAGCCGGGCGGCAGCGGTGAAGCCTTGCTCCGGATGGTTTGGGATGAACGGGAGTTGTTCATCCGGATCCGATCCCGGAAGCCCATTTTACTGCTGACAGTGAAATTAAAGTAGTTGAATACATGGAGACTCACTGGTGTTTTTGGAAAATGATAGCCGACAAATTTTAGCTTTTTGGTGTAGATTCTCAGCCATCCAGGAAATGGGGTTTCTTAGCGCTTGACTAGAAGACAACTGGATTTTCGTTTCTAGTTTCTTAAATATGTTTTGCCTCTCACCTGAAACGTTTCCACATTTCTGATCATTGATAGAAAATGATGAACCCATCAGCAATCCCAACTCTGAAAGGCTAGGATTTCTTATTAATGACCAGAGTCAAAGAAATATTTGGGTGAGATGTGAAGCATCTTCAAGAAACAAGTGATTTCAGTTTTCTTCTATTCAAGCAGGAAAATTTCTGGTTTTGGTTGCATTGACACAAACCATCATTAAAGTATCAATGGACCATGTTATTGGGAGCCAAATGGAAAAGGGCGGAATGGAAACCTAACTTTGTTAGAAAAGAGTTAGTTAGTAGAAAAAGAGGTAACAAAAGAAACTTGGCCTCTTGAAGCATCAGGCATCGCATGAAGAAACAGAAAAAAAAACCCAGAACACAACAAAGATTTACATTTTGTCAGTGAAGGACAGAGCAGCTGAAATGCAGAGGAACTGTGTGCAATATTTACTGATTCTGCTCTAAGGAGTGGCCTGCTGTTCCTGTCTTTTGCACCTGAATCAGCGAAATAAAACTGAAGACTTGCTACAGTGCTGGAGCGGCAAAAAGATTGTCCTGCAAAAATCACAGAAACCACCTTAATCCCTTCAGCAGACCTTATGGGCATCAAAACATTAGCTTCAAAGGGCAGCAATACAAAAGGCATTTCACTGAGCACTCGATACCACTCACCACAAGCCGAGTCAGGGAGCTACACGGGGTCAACTGCTTACAGGAGAAAAGCTATTTGGCAGGCAGGCTGTACAAAGGATCGACTCCCTGATGCTGCTGGTAGAGCATGCTCTTGTGGAGATCTCCCACTCCGCAGCCGCTTAGAGGTTACGTACTGTCACGGATCCATAGGCAGCGCAACTGTCATGCACCGCAGAGCAAGTTCCAGCCAAGTCGTTCACTCCCACATCTTTTCAGATGATATACTCTTTTGTCTTGCGTGTGATACACATAAACCAGCTATTTAAAATAAAATTTAAATAGCAGGAGTGGGCTTAGAAGGGGCACAGCATTTCATATGAAAAGGCTTGGGCAGGAAATGGAAGGGGGGGGGGGAGTCGGTAGAGTGAAAGACCTTTGCATGCTGTAGGGAAAGGACGTAAATGCTTTCCAGAACATTGCATGCAAAGAGAAGCACTTTAAGCTCTGTAAAAAAAAAATAAAAAAAATAAAAAATACAACACAAGCATGTTGAATTGATACAGAGGTTTGATCGATTTGAAACCGAAGAGCATGCATGGAGCTGTGAGCCTTTTTTATTCAATAAAAAAAAAACCAATTCAAGCAGGAAAGCTGAATGTTTTCCACAATATCAAAGACTTCTGATGAGCAGAAAATGCATGTTTTTACTGCAACCGTATCCACAACCCATTGCAACCACAACTTTAAGTGTATATCATTGGCTTTGTTTGTGATAGACCAACTGGCATTTTTATTTAATATATTTTGAGAATGGTTATTAACCAAACTTTCCAATTATTGTAGTAGACTCTGTATTTTCAGCTAAAGCACAACTGCACACCAGAATTGAACATTCTTGTCTGACTGCAATTGGCTTCGTGTGCTTTACATCACCACTGTCCCATATGGTGTTGGCACCATTATGCTATGGGGATGTTTTGCAGGGACCAGAAAGCCAGTCAGAGTTGACCGGATGATGAATGGAGCTTAAAAAAAAAAAAAAACCTTGTTAAAGAGACAATACACCTAAGCCTAGACCAATGCACATTTTTATTTTAAAAAGAAAAATGTTCAAAGTCAACAATAATTTTGAAGGATGAATCTATTCTATACTTTCAGGTTTATTTGTTAAAATCTTTCTTCTTCTTTGATTTGTTCTATCTTATAAGATCTCAATAAAATACACTGAGATTTGTGGTTGTAATGTGACAAAGTCGGGGCTACGAATACTTTTCTAAGGGCCTGTCAATAAGCCAAATGGGACTTTTGACATGAATTTAGCAACCAAATTCAGTCCTAATTTTTCAAGCATTTACAAATCAAAACCTTAAAATGTATTCATATATTAAAGACTTTACACAAGTATTTGTGGACCAGAATGCAGTGCCTGTTTAAGACCAGCTATGGTTGCAACCATAGATATTATTGCTTCTTATATGCAATATTAATGCAACGTCTGTCTGGAACTCACATGCTGTGAATGGCGTTCTTGCATTAACTGTAAGAAAACATTTAGAAAGCCACTGCATCCGGCCCACAAATCCTTTGAGTGCTTCAGGCAAGGTAGGCAGGATATGTTGCTGAAGAAGTAAGAGTTATCGATCTGCGACGTTTTAGCGTGCCCCGTGCACAGGATTGTTGCTGTGGGTACCTCTGCTTGCGCCCAGCATGAATCCGGAAGAGACCTCGCTTTTTAGAAAGGAGCTGACTGGGGAGACACACAAGGCAGAGGGAAAGACGGTGAGGGGCCGAGAGGGAAGTGAAGGGAGTGTGGGTGGAGGAGGACAAGAAGTCGTAGGATGCAACCTGGGCACACGGTGAACCCATGAGAGTAAGGAGTAGCGAAGAGAACGGGATGGAGAGTGGGAGGTGCGAAGCCAGAGATGCACCGAGAAATTAGATGGTGGCCTGAACTGTTGGATATTTACATTTAGTAGTGATTTGAAACTAAATAAAACCTTTTTTTTTCTAACAGATGAATACGCCATAGTGCTAGCATGTTGAAGGTGTAGCCATTTCAGTGAGGCATTTAAAAATAAAGTCAGAAGTCGGTTGAAATTTAAGAATGAATTTGGAAGAAAACTTTTTCTTTTTATCAGAAGTTGACTTATTCACTCAGGCAGAAATAATAAGTGGAAACTAAACTTTTAACAGATAATAGGAAGGCAGAACCTGAAGTTGATCTGTTTTATGCTTTTTGTCTTTCCAAATCTGTGTATTATGTAATATGATGGATTTAGAAAGCAGCGTGGCTCGAGATTTCAGGCGCTAGCTAATCATGCTAATCATTAAGACAGTAATCCATGATTTAATTTGCATTAAAATTTCAGCAATACCTTGTTTTACAGTGGCTGCTATTGGCATTAATTGACCTCTAACTCCTATTGCAAACGATTAATAAATTTGTATGGAAGAGTATCTAAAATAGATATTTGGAACGTTGCTCTTATTTTCTTTTTCAAATGATCCTTTTTTTTAAAAAAAAAATGGCCAAACTTGATATTGGAAGCTTCTTTACAAGAAACTGATCTCAAATGAGTGAAAAAACTGTGACCTATGCAATATTCTGCAATATACTTAAGTTCTAGTTTACGACACAAAGAAAGACAAGCGGTGCATCTCAAAGTGAACCGTTGCTTCTCAATGATCCGAATTGCCGTTTCAAAGTTTTGCTTATTTCACACCACATTAGAGCAAAACGTGTGAATCGTGACGGCAATTTTGGATTATTGAGAGACACTCGCTCAGTAGGGGGAGATGAGTGTTATTCAGAAGAGGATGTAGCAGCTAAGGGTTTCACCTGAGTATAACCATCATGATGTGACAGCAGCACCTCAAAAACAAGAGAAATCTTCCAGAAGCTTTGATTCTCCAAGAACCCTGACATGCTTCTTTCATCAGGTGCATGCATACAGCCTGTGAATAACCAATTAAATAACCAACCCTTTTGTTTATGCTTGTTAATATTTCAGATTTGCAATAAATTCACCCCAATCGTAATCCTTTGACTAACAATGACCTTTAGTTTACAAGCTCATGACGTGAAGAACAAACCTGCATGGAACTTCTGCCTTCCTACGAACAGATGGAGGATGGATGCCGTGAAAAGGACAGAATGGACATAAAGGAAAGGACGAGAGGAAGAGGAAACCGATGAGTGAGGGGCAAGAGACGGCAGAGATGGCTGGGGCATGAGCTTTGCACTTTGCAGACAAAGACGGTAAAATGGTAAGAACTCAGGTTAGTAAAGGACAGTTAGAGGAAAACCACGCCTCCATGGATTTGGCTTTGAGTCAGTCAGTCCTGATTTAACTTGTGTCTGATGATCAGTGTGTGTGTGTGACTGTGTTTTCGGGCCTCCTGTTTGGACGCACTGGGGTGCTGAAAGAGGTGCCTACCTGTCCCTCGACAGATAGGGGGAGCTGTAGGGCCGGAGCCCAGACAGCAGCGTGTTGTAGGAGTTCTGCAGAACCTTCTTGGTGTTGCGTTGTCGCTGGAGGTGACTGAACAGTAGCGTCAGTTCTCTGACCCCCACGTGCACAAATGAACAAAAAAAGCAAACAAAACATGACAAATGAACAAAATAACAAAAATACCAAACAATGGAGAGCCACAAAAAGGCCAAAGGATGCATGATAGAAATTATATAAATTCAGGATCCAAACCATAAAAACTAAAGCAGGCCTACAAGAAATGTTTGTCTTTTTTGTGGATGGACGACTTTGATTTGCGTTTAGTTGTTTTTAATTTGCGGTTGAATGACTTTGACATGAGGATGACGGGGTTTTTTTTTTTTTTACTGTTCATGTTTTCCATTGCAGTTGGATTACTTTTGTTCCCTGCATAATGACATGTTTATTTATTTTTAGTCTGCAGTTTGACCACTTGTTTAAGACTGAACGACTATTACTTTCACTTCCAGTTAAATGTCTTCATTTGCAGTTGAACATTTTTATTTTGAGAATTTCATGTGGGTTTGGTGACTTTCGCAAGCGGGTTAGATGTGTTTTCTACATAGCAGGACTCTTTCGTTGGATGTTTTTAGTCTGGGTTGGATGCCTTGTTTGTGTCTCCAAATTCAAAACCTCATAATTTGAAAATAACTCAAAGGCATCAAATTTTACTTTATGAAAATATGATGCTTCTTTCTTTGGATATTCAAAAGCCAACAGAGTTGATGACTCCTTGCAGAAGAGAATTAGTTTGATTAAATCCTTTAAAGTTGCATGTAATGCTGTCAGATAAACTATCATGCATACAGAATGTCACCTGTTGATTGTCTCCATTTATCTCAGTTTGCCATCTTGGGCAGGAAGTGGTAGCACCAGTCAGAGGCGCCCGTATTGTTCTAGATTTCCACTTAGATCAGGGGTGCCCAAAGTTGGTCCTCGAGGGCCGACATCCTGCATGTTTTAGTTCTCTCCCTAGTGGTACTAACAACCTCCTCAGCATGTCAATGTCCTTCCTAGGTCCTCTAATGAGCCATCATTTGATCCAGGTGTGTTAAACCAGGGAGAGAACTAAAACATGCAGGATGCCGGCCCTCGAGGACCCACTTTGGACACCCCTGACTTAGAGCTACGTTGGTATAAACAAAACTTTGCTTTACGAAAGACATACAAAATGTGATAGCCACAAATCCTACAGCAACGCCCGGTTTGCAGTTTCCGTTTGGATCGCGTCAACGTGTTTCGTCCTTTGTTCCGGTCTGGTGTTCAGGAAACAAAGGTTTAGTTTATTCCTTGTATTATTTGAACCGCTGACCGTGTAACTAAGATGACAAATTTAACGACTGTGAATATATTTTTTACTCCCCCTGCTGTCGATAGATTCTATGACGCAAGATACACAGCCTCAATATATTGACAGAAACAGCCTGTCTAAAGTTAACCTAACATTACTCTCCACACACAACATAATGACTAAATCCATCAACAAAGCCTTGAACAGCAAAAGGTGTTATTAGAACCAATATGCCAAGCACTGATGTCAGACGCTGCACAACTGCTGGAGTTTGAGACTATAAGACCAAATATAGTGTATGTTGCGCGAATATAACCTTTCTATAATTAGCCATTAGTCTACCAGGAGGACATTTCTGCTTGAAACCAGCAACCAATATGTTTTACATAGTTTATTGTCATTGAGTATTTAGCTGTTTTTCTTTAAACTTAAGTAGTTATACGTAGATGTTGCTTCAGTTTCTGACCGAAAAAGGCAAGAATGTGTTTATTTCTTGAAGATATTCTGAAGTATTTTAATATTATCCTTAAGAGGCAGACTTTTCAAAAGCTACAAAAAGTGTAAATCAAGTGGCAACAACACTCCAACACATCTAACAGAAAGTAAATTCAAAAGTAATCAACAATTTATTACTGATAAAGTTAGAAGTATTGTTTGAAAAACGTCCTGAGGTTATTTTAACAGACATAGGCTCCAAAAATGAATCAAAGTAAAGTTTGCATGTTCATATTTATTTATTTATTCCTGTTACTAAGCAGACTTTCCGACTGTTATGGAGTGCAACTGGAAATCCTGCTTCCAAAAAATTTCATAAAATGACTTGATGCATCATCAGTATATTACTAAACGACCATATATATCAGCAGATCCATTAGATAATTAAAATGTATCGAAATAATTTGAATTATAACTGTTTTTGAACTGATATCCTCTTAGCAGCTATTTTTTTGACTCATAAAAGTAAAAGTATGTGTGAAATAACTGTGATGTTTTAAATTGTGTTTTATTTCATTGGATACATGTAAAGATAATCCTGATACATTTTGGCAAACTGAGCTAAAAACACGTTGTCAAAATTGATGAATGTACATTTTTGGTCACATTTGTTAAACCTCAAAGATTTTATTTTTTGTTTTTTATTTAAGTCCAGTTTGAATTATTACCATCATGTAATTGGCTTGGATGTAAAAAGTTGGATTACAAGTTGCTCTAAATATAAATATTTTTTTTTCCATGAAAATAAAAAGAAAATCAAAAATTTGAGATGGGGAAATTTTTTTAAATGGCAAAAATCAAAATTAAAGAGCACAAATGCAAAATTAACTAAAGTAGATAAATAAATAAAAAACATAAAATGCATAAAAATGTTATTATGTGTAACTACATAATGGTTGTGAAATTTCTGTGTTTAAAACTGAAGAGCGTTCGAGTGACAAAATGCTGTTTTATCCCACTGAATTAGTTGTATCATCCGAATAATAATCAGCTCCAACGCTTTTGATTACTTTTATTCACCTTTCGAGAGATGCTGTCAGTATTTTAAGCGAGAAGCGGTTTGTGGTTCTTGTCGATTCGGCTCACTGCAGACCAGGTGGCCTGATGGCGACACCTACCTGAACGAAGGCAACATGCTGTCGTAGAAATACCATGTTGCTGTTAGATACGAGTGTTTGGCATCTGTAGAATAGAGACGCCATGCAGCCTAGAGGGAGACACAGGTCAGAGTAAACGCCGGCCCAGGCGATGTGTGAACAGAACATAACATCAGCTTACACTGAGTCAACCACCTGTATGAGATTTGCAGCAGGCATCCTCCTCTTCTCAAAGTGCTTCTGCCGGTGCTGCTCTTGAACCTTCAAGGCAAAGCCTGAACCCAAGATTCCCTAAAGATTAAAAAAAAAAAAAGCTGCTAATTTTGTTTTTTGTCAAAAATAAAAATGTCATGTTTGTAATTACTGTGAACTTACAGCTGGCAGGGCGAAAAAGGAGACACCCAGGAGGGCAAAGCCAGCCGCCAGAAGTCGTCCCTGCCACGTACGAGGCGTCTTGTCTCCGTACCCAATGGTGGTCAAAGTTATCTGAATGTATGAAGAAATTCAGGTCTCAGAGACGAGCGGTGATCCTCACAACAACATGTAAAGTGTATGCAGCAGACAATCCAGCACATAGAGCAATTCCCCTTTAGCTTTTTCCAGCTTTTTTTTATTATTATTATTGCGAATGGAGATCTAATCAGCTCCCTTTGCTATGATACCTCAAAATAAAATCTAGTGATGCCTTAAAATACACCTAATTATGACATCTAAATAGTCTGCCTGTGTGTTATTTCATCTAAGTATAACCCCAGCTGTCATGTGAAAGCCTCAGAGGTTCGTTGGAGAACGTCAGGGAACAATCAGCGAAGGCAGCAGGTCAGGAAAAAATGATATGGAGTTCATCGCAGGGATTCGCCGCAAAGCTAAATTCCAACTTTGTCCACATCAGAATCACATCATGACAAATGGTGGTGGCAGCATAATGCTGTGGGATGCTGGTAAAGTTAACCTGTAAAGAAAAACTGACACCGAGTTAAATGTTCGCCTGCCAATGAGACAATCCGATTTAGTTTCTGTGACGCCAAGCCTTTGAAACGGCTGTTTACAGGTCAGTATAAATCAGCTTGGATTATTGTTGCAAAAATTACTGAACAAACACTTTGAGACTATAGACTTGAAAGATGCTGGAAACAGAAACCAAGCAACTGAAGCTTCGTCAGAGTACTGACCCAGCGGAGCAGAAAAGAATTTTAAGTCAGAGCTGTTAGATTTTTATTTGTAGAAAAGTTGTAGCTACTTCATGTAGGTCTGTCACGTAAAATCTCAGTAAATACGCACAAAGGTTTGTGGGTGGAACACGATAAAATGTGACAAAGCTCAAGTTGCTGTTGCTACTTTTGCAAGACATTGTACTTCAAAAAGAAGGAAATGTGGTTTTAATGACTAAGAGGAAGAATCAATCCTACATCCTAAAGTAAGCTACATTGTATAATAATAGTAATACTAATACCATTTTTGCAGGAGCCTTTGGAACTAATTACCATCTGAACAGGCACATGAATATTATAACATGGTTTGAATGACAGATATTTGATAAGTATTGAGTCTGTAAGTAATATGTTTCATTAAATTGAGATAATGGGTCGTATTAAACAAGGGCTCACTTCTTGCTACTCCTTTTCAAACAGAAGCATAGTAGTAAACAAATTATGTCTGAACGTGTTTTATTTGTCCTACTGATTTCTTGTTTTCTTGTTTTTTGAAAACCTGTTTGAAAAAATAAATAAATGAAATCAAAATCTGATTTTAAGACCATAACTGGGTTTATAATATTCAGGATTAAATAAAGAATTGGCTAAAAAATTAACCAGAGCCGTACTAATTGTTTTGATTCAGTAGGTTTAAGTGTGTTGTTTCACAGCTCTTTTTCATTTTATTGTATTTACTGTTGGTCTTAACTTTTCATTTTAATCAACTGTTAAAGGTCCTTCTGGACAAATAAACAATACAATAAATGAAATAAAACAGTCAGCCATAACCCTGTTACGCATTTATGTGGTTTTAAGCCACATTGTTTAATCACCTATAAAGTTTTTTTTTCTTCAGTTTTTCTAGATGAGAAGAGACATTTAACCCTCCTGTTATGTTGTGGGTC